CGGGCTGGAGAACCTAGTGTGAGAGCATGGCTACAGAACCTGGCTGGAGAACCTGGAGAACCTGGCTGGAGAACCTAGCAAGAGAACATGGACACAGTACTTGGCTGGAGATTGTGGCTAGAGATCCTGGCAAGGCTGCTGATCAACTGAACGCTGTCTCCGTGTCATTCCTTCTTTGCCGACTCCGTCCACACCTTTGGGGACCCCTGGACCCACTGGGGTTGGACCCCGGCAGTGTTGACCAAGCAATTCCTCCTGATTATCAACAATTTACAAAAGGAGGGCTATGTGAATGGATGAAGTAAAAGTGGCAAAATCCTCACAATTTTTGGATTTGGGTAATAGGAAAAAACATGGAATTACAACATAATAGTAACAACTAAATCTACTAAGCACTTATGTGTCCAAAGCGTTATCTAAGAACTTTACATATATTTTTTCATCTATTGATAGCAATCCTATATAGTAGGTTTTATCATTATCCTCCCTTACAAATGAAAGAACTGTGGCAAAAAGAGATGAAATAAATTGGCCCAAGTTCACCCAATTCTAATGACAGGTTTAGGATTAGAACCCTGGAAATTTAGTTCCAAAGCCACTATATTAAACTGTCTCTCTTAAAACCACATAAATATTTTGCCTGAAACAAACGCATGCTGTCCAAAACTTCAAACCTCTTCTCAAATTTCTACTAATGTTTTTGCTTCTCTTCTACTAATAATCCCTTCTTTTGTTAACACAGATCTTCATTTAAAAATCTTACCAAATTACCACTCTGTATCTTTCTCTGCTTTGACCTCAGGGCAGTGGCGAAGATCAAAGGCACCTAGTATGAGTCCAACTAAACTAGTCTTAACAAATCACAGCCTAAAATAAAACTCTGTTGCTAGCCTTCCTTGCAAACCATGCAAGAGTTTAAGAAGCAGCTCACAGGAGAAATTAAATGATTGCTAAATGTTCATGTAATAGTTAGGAGGGGCAGGAAGCCTACCTACATCATCTCCATCATTCACTGAGAAGGAAGAGCAAAGATCCAGATGAATAGGTAGTTCAGGTATTAAAGCCTTACTAGCTAAAAACTACATGGAAGACGCCTATTCCACAGGAATGGTTGGAATGTAATGGGTGAGAGAGTGAGAGAGAAAGAGAGAGAGAAGCTCTTGTGTAAACGGTTAAGTACCAACTGAAGGATTCAGAGGAAAGGGAAAACAATTCTGGAATGTTTACTGTTTCTGAGGTGAGAATAGGAGGCAGGGATTAATTAAAGGTTGAACACTACTATATAGTGAGAGTACTTTAGCAATTGGGTATCCCCAGTAATAAAATGAAAATAGCAAAGTGGATCTGGAGCACTTTCTTGGTAAGAAATCTGTAATCTCTCAAAGAGAAAATCGTTATGCCATTTTACAATTGCTGCATGACCTGAGTATGTGGTAGGCAGTTGGACACAGGAACAGAGAAAAACAATGGGCCAGGTACAGAAGGTTACCAAGGCAGAAGGCCCCAGGTGCTTAGCAACAGGCAAAACTGGGAAAATAAGAACCTCACTCACCCTCAGGGTAACCTTTCCTCCCCTAGCATATAGCTGGGTCATACAGTTTAGATCCCCTGACCTTTCCTCCCCTGGCATGTTGCTAGTCATGTGGATTAGAACCCCTTAGAGCAGCCGTCACAACTGGTGGTCCATGAGGTCCGAAAGGTTGGCTACCACTGCCTTAGAGGGAGAACTCACAAGGGGGCCAAAGGATAACCCTTAGCATTAAGCCCACAGGAGAATGAGGCTCTGGCCGACATCAAATATATCTAGGCCTCAGTTGTGTTTCAGCTCCAGGCCCAGAAAAGCAACAAAACCAGACAAGCAATGCCATGGCTGACCTCAGGACCAGCTACATTGACAAATAAACCCTGTCACGGCAACAACCAATCCTAGAGACCATGACCCTGGAAGACACACCTGTAAAACTGATAAATATTCTATTGGGACTTTACCCTCAGACCTCCAGATAAATACCCTCAAGAGGGAGGACCCAGTGTGGCTTTCTCTATTGAGCACACCCTGGTCTTTCCCCACCCCTTCCCTCAGCTGCACTTTCCTTGCCTCTCTCTCTTAAGCTCCAAGGGCCCTCTTATGCCTCTGTAACTTGCTTCCTGAGCTCATTTCTTCTACAGTTCACTTCTTCTACCTCTGGGACTTCCTAAATAAACTTTCTCTTATCGATTTGAGTCTTAGCTCTGAATTCTTTCTTAGCCAGAACTCAAGTACTGAAGTTGCTAAACCAAGGTCAGGTCTGACTCCACGGGTCTAACATCTGGTGCTGTTCTTTCTCCCAACAAGGAGAAATAATGTTTCTTAATTTTGCAACTGGCTTGATCTGCCTCTTCTCTCCCAGCCTGATTAATAACAGCACTGTTTTTTCTTTTTTGAGTCCGAGCTGATTTTTCCTCTTTTACAGAAGCAAATATTCCAATGTCTGGAAAAATAACAATAACATTTCATGGAACAAAGGGGAAACAGAAACTCATCTTGAGACAGGTATGTATCTATTAACCTATACTAGTTCCCTATACATATACATATACATATACATATATATTCCTTTCTCCCTGCTTTCCTAAAGATCAGCAGGTTTGGAGAAGGAGACAGGAATCCTGGGACAGTGAGCCTTTCTTGGAGCTCAGCCCAGGCTGGCTAACTCAAGTCACAGCCTCATGCCCACACAGCACACATATACTAGAGGGAAATCTGGGAGCCTGGGGTAAAGGGGCACCCCTTCCCGGTATCACACCGAAAGCCCAGAGTACAAAGACCAGGGCTGGAATATGTCTCCAAATTCACGCCACTTTCCTCCAGAGGGTGCAACGGTTAAGCTGTGGTTTTGTGATCTATAGTTTTTCTCAGGGCTGCATCTTTTTGTTGATGGCATTCACTCTGGGGTTCATACATTGAACTCGGAGCCATTCTGGGCCGCCGGATCCGTGCGGCCCTGAAGCGGAAGTACAGAGGGCACATCAGGGAACCCAGAGCCCAATTACCCCCCCAAATTCCATAGTCACAGCAACTACGTTCACACCTAGGCCCGCGCCGCCCCCGCGCCGCCCCCGCACCCGTTTCCTCCATTTCTGCAACCTACTCACCTCTGGAGGCGACACCAGCAACAAAGCCCTTACAAAACTATGTGCAGAGGCCTGTGGGAAATGTAGTCTGCGGTAGGGAGGACCTGGTGTCCGCCCCAAAGGGTTGCCGGGAGTGCACTAAGGCGGAGCGGAGCGCTGGGCTTGAGGATGGGCTGGTTGGGGAGGGGTTTCAAGGCTGCCCGGGACTGAACTAGGTGCCCACCCTCAGCAAGGTCAGGATTGTGTTTGTTGCAGAGGAAGTTCTACCAGGGTTTAGAAAGAAGTGTTGGCTTCAGCAGGCAGCTGATAGATGATTTGTGCTAGGCACACAGACCTGAAACCTAAAACAAAACTAACTCAAAATGGATCATAGCCCTAAATATATAGGGTGTCCCAAAATTCACGCAAGATTTGAATTTTGAGTGAGCATTAACAACAACAAAAAAAAAATAAAAGCCTAATTTTACTTGGTTTATTGAATCAGATTCTAATATCGGTTGCCCTTTGATTTCAAGCCCTTCAATTTGATAAGCATTACCAAGTACCAATGATGGCCCAGGAGCAGGGACAATGAAGACCAATGAAGACCACGGCTTTGTGTATGTGCCAGCACAG